TTTATTTAATTTTTTTTTGTTTTTTACAAATTATCATCAAAAGTTTCTGACGTGGTCACTGTTTACAGTTTTGACCTGTTTTTGTGTCCGTCTGTGTTTTTTTGACATTAACACTTTTCTAAGATTTTACCAGATTTATCTTTAACAAAACGGGGAAATCTATAAAACAATATATTATTCAAAGAAAATGCAGCTAACAATTGTGAAAAAGCCTTTTTTTCAGTGTGGCCTTTGACATTTTATCTCTTAGCTGTTAAAATAACCAAATGAATTCACATTACATTAAAAACATCCTGTTGAATTATTCACTACATCTCCTCAGTAAAAAGCCAAAACATTCAGGAAGTCACTGAACTAAATGTCAAACTGTCAGCTTCAGTTTTATCCACGTTTGTTTACCAGTTCTACTTAAATATAAAGTGATCTGTAACTTTTGTCACTGAGATTTGATGAACAGAAAGAGGATTTGAAAGGATCCGATAAGTGGATTCGGAACATTCAGATGAGATAAAACGCTCTAAACCCGACTACATCCCACTGCTACCCGTCTGCGCTCAGCACTGGAGTGGATTTAAAAGATAAAAATCAATATAAAGGATCTTAGACTAAACTTTATTGTTGTGAGCTCCCTCCTTTGGGAACATCCCTCACAGGGACCACTCTTTGAAGAGCAGAACCCCCCTTCCTGCTCCCCATTCAGCTGGAGAGAAAAGCAGCCTGATGCCGGCCCTCGCTGCCCGCCGAGCCGCCTGCCTCCGCCGCACTAGACAAAACAAGTGGGAGGCAGGATTTGTTTAGACAGAGCTCACCTGGCACACAGGCAGACACAGAAACAGTGATCAGCCAAGCCCTGGGGAGGAGCAGAGCTCGCGAGGAGGCGGGGAGGAGAGCGAGGCGGCGCTGGAGGCGGCGGCGGCGGTGATGAGCGTACGAGAAGGGGGGAAGGGACGGGAAGGGCTGCTCCAGAATCAAAGCGGATTAGGACTGAAGGGGCTGCGAGTGGTGCTGGGCCATAGGTGGAGTAGGTGGAGGGGTGTGTTTGTGTGTGTGAGGGGAGGCCTGGTCCTGGACTTGCCCACCATGTAACACAAGAGCTGGACTTGAGTGCTCGCTGGCTGCAGCGTCACATAGAGAAGCTCTCAGCTGGTCTGTTTTTACACATCAGATGAGCAGCGGGCTAATATTATATGCAGTATTTGTCGGGCTCGTGTAATGTTTCAGCTTCACGTGTAATATTTGGTTTTCCAGTGTGATATTACTTTACCGGGTCAGGACCACTGACAGCAGTACTTCTCTATTCCAGTCTCATCATGTCTCTAATGTAGCGTACCGACAGCTTATTGCTTTTTTGTTGTTTGTTGTTGTTTTGTTTGTTTTTACTCTGCACTGCATTTCTTACAGTCGTGCTCAGATGTGTTCATAGCGCCCCATTAAAGAAGGAAAACAGCTGAAATAAGCTGAAATTGACAAAAGTAATAATAAATAAAGATTTAGTGAACATCACGACGTTGCTTTTGAATCGTGGTTCAACAGATATAATAACAATAAAAAAAGGAAACAAGCATGATGGGACCCGTGAGCTAATATTTAGCTAAACAACCCTCTGAGCCAATCAGGTGTTTCTGTAACTCTCAGTCAGACTTCTGCACCTGCTGACAGGTGTTCTGATTTCACTGCTCATCAGAAAAGGCCTCTTATTTATCCGGGACAGTTTTGTTTTTTTAAATGATTCTTTTCAACCACAATTCAAAAGCAACATCTTATTTCACTAAATTATAATTTAGTAAATTTTTATTTATTATTACTTTATTCAGTTTCTAGTTATTTGAGTTGTGAATTTTGCCTTTTCTTTAACGTGAGGGTGTGAATACATTTGAGGACGACTATTTTGTTTTCTGAGCAATATCTAAGATTTTCTCAGGGATTCATAAAGTTTTATCTTATCTGCACCCTGACTGGAGGACCACAGCTAGCAACTTTAATTCTGTATTAATGTTATGAGCATTGTGTTTGTAAAAATTGGTGCTTCGTTCTGTTGATAAAGGCAAAGGCACAAAAGACCAAAACTCACATTGATATAAGAAGCCCTGAAGGCCTTTAAAAAAAAATCTATTTATAAATACTGAAACTGAATTGAGTTATCATTCAAGCTATTATTAGTTTGCTTTTCTTTATTAATTTTGCATTTCTGACCACTGCTCAGAGAAGATAAGTAATTCATTTTTCCACTGTTTCACAATAAAACACTTTTACGGCACATTAAAGTTTTAAACCGACTGTAAACTCTCTCCACTGACCTGATCCGAACTAAAATCTGAATTAAAATAGCTTCGAATTATCAGATTATTACATCAAAGTGACGACTGAAGTCGATCAAAAGGCTTGAATGCAAAAATAAATTCAAACACACGAGCAAATAACAACACGATCAGCCCTGATGTAACTACAAAGTCGTCCAAACGTCTTCGTCCCCGTTTGAACTGTTCTAACGTTCATGACCCAGAACCGGTGCCGTGTCGGCTCCCTTTCTATCGTCCTCATCTGAGAGAAGCGTGTGCGATGAGGTTTCGACAGGAGGGAACAAAGAGGAAGATGGATGATAAACTGCCCCCCACCCACCCCCAACCACACACTCACGCTCACTGTGGGTTGACCTCAGTTGACCCTTTGGCCCCTGAACAGCCTCACATCCCATTGACTGGCCTTAAATAGGGTTTCTGCCTGCAGGCTTTTTATGACACAGAAACACAAGGAAAGTGGCTCCACTGTAGCCCCCAAGCAGCAGCTTGTCTGGTAGCATCTGACCAACAATGCAGCGCTTCTCAAACGTTCTGCAGTTAAAGAAGAACACACAATACGTCGGTGGGTTTTTGTTCCAGATGCTTACAGATAAGCTCTCAGCCCAGAAGGCCCGGCAGAACCCTGACTCCTGTTGCAGAGTTCATCACTTTCCTTTTGGCTTCACAACACAAAATAATAATCTGTTCACCTGATAACGGCGTCACGCAGGAGCTGATCTCGTGATTCTCACATCGCAGCACCAAACAAACGCAGCCTGTATTTTTGCTAATAGATGGTTTATTGTGAGCCGTCTGATAAAGAAAAGCAACCAGCTCGGGCCAGGAGTGAACCTGAGGAGACGATCGGTTTCTATGTTGGGGTTTCGATGGATTTTCCATTTTGAAAAGTGCTAAAAAATCAACAACAATAACTTGTAAGAGAAAGTGTTAATCAGCGAAGTTGGAGCCGCTGTTAGCCTGAAGGCCTCTAAGTGCTGCTCGGCTCACGCTGCACCTCTAATCAGCTGTTCAGGCAGCTGCATGCTGTAATAGAAGATGATAACGGGGCAAACGTTAAATTACCCACCAACACTGCTGATGACAAATGAAACTGCCTTTACTCCTGCTTTCCAACAGAAAGGTGTAAACGCAGAACAAAGAGCCTGTGATGGCATTGATTCGGCTTCTGTCACCACGAACATTCACTCCAGCTGATTGGCCTCCATCACTGATCAATAGAAGATCCCCCTGACAGATGCTGGATCCAAACCCACCACAGGCCGGCAGCACCTGTCAATCAAAGCTCTCCGGGGAGGCTCCAGCTGGTGGAGAATGTGAGGCCTGAAGGATTTCTTTGTCCCCTGAGGTATTCCAGAGCCGTCCCTTTTCTCACTTCGGATGCTCGGTCAGCATTTCTACGGAAGCGTGCAGCGACGAACCCCCGGTGAGCGAACACAACCGAATCTGGGAAGTTGACAACGGTGTCCTTACTGGGCCTTTAGGCAGAAACCAACCTGTGGTCCACGTAAGGCGAGATCTTCCCATGTGAGCACCGTTACGCCCTCCCTCTCCCCGGAGCAGGACGTTTCTGATCAAGCAAAGCCGAGGTTTCAACATTTTGACTCCTGCCAAACACACCATTTGCATAATCATGTGTAAGCCTGGTCCGAGCCGCACAAATCTGGAGTCGGCGTTACAGTTTCCCCCCCTTCCTGCTTAATTAACCCCCATTTGATCCACTCAATGGAATTACTTGCGACAAAACCAGCAGCCACATGCATGGCAATTACAGAAATGAAAGCTTGTTAACGGCCTTCACTAGACCATGATCTTTAGCAGCTCATTAGGCAGCAAACATGGACACATGCACACGGAGTCATACGCAGGGAGGGGGGGTATTACATGCATCTGCCATTTAGGACCTTTCCCCATAGTGTTGCTCTGCTCGTTTCCAACCATTAGACCCATTAGAGGCCAATTAACACCGACACAAAGCTCCCTTCCTGTTTTATGGCGCTGTAAACAAAACCTGCAGGCCTGCCTCGGGCTCAGCACAGTAACTCGGTTGACACATAAAAAAACCTCCAGCTTGCATGTAAACCTGAGGTAATAGGTAATAGGCAGGTGCCAGGCGCTGATATGAACACTTACTCTGGCTTTGCCTTGCAGACTACATGGAGCACAGAAAACCTGAGCTTTTTTCTCCTCTCTCTCTCTTTCAAGGCAGCATTTGGTGTCGTAGTTCCATCAAGTAACACATTAACCACATCAATTCATCTCCGTTGCATCACCAGTGGTGCTGCGCTGATAAACCAGCCTCTAATCCAGTCAGATGACTTCAACTTGTTGAAGTAGTTAGAAGTGCCTTATGTGGGTCAAACTGTGTCAGAATAGGCCAGAAGATAAGCACAATGCGGGTCTTTTCCGCGTGTTTAAGTTGTGTCCTGGTCGCTTTATGGAGCAAACATCTGAGGCTGCATGCTGCAGCACGCCACAGCCACGGGTCGTCCTGAGAGGTGATGCCAAAACACCAGCGTCTTTACGCACTCGCACGACGAAAAACACGGAGTTACTTCACGTCTTCTAGGTGAGAATCATAACCCACAGCCACCGAGGTTTAACAGGATGAAGCCTGCGCACGTTTAAAACAAGTGATCACAACTCAGAGAGCCCAGAAAACAACAAGCACCGCGTCAGCCGAGAGAACAGAAAGAATCCAACCTGAAAAGTCTGGAGAGCCCTTGGAGAGATCGCAGAGACACGTTATTCCCAACAGGAGCGCAAAACTGACGGCTGAGAGAGTCCCATCTGAGAAGATCATCCTTGAAGCCTCAAAGTTTTGGATTTTCTCCGAATCATCAGAAAGTCCAGCAGCAGCAGCAGCAGCAGCAGCATCGAGCGTCAGATTGTGCGTCGCATGCAGCACAAGTGCGGTCCCATGTCCCTGCGGCTGCCTTCATCCTCCCACCGCACTGATGTGACACCGAGCTGCAGCAGCAACACACAAGCCTCTGAGTGCATTTCCGACTGCGTGTTGTGTTGTGGAAGTGCAGCCCACCTGCAGGAGCCGCGCTCCCCTGCATGGTCCCAAAGACCCACAATTCCCTGCAAGACGCGCGCAGGAGGCGAAACATTTGAGTTTAGAAGAGTTTTAAATGCTGCAGCTGTTCAAACACAGGGCTTTATAGCAGAAAAATAAGACTGGATTCATGAACAAACAAGTTTAAATAATGAGGTTTGGACCCTACAGCGTGTGAATTTACTCCACATTAGTGATATAAAATAACACTTTGTTGTACCAGAGTAAATATGAAGATAAAATAAGCTTTATTAGTCCCACAGCAAGGACATTTGAAAAGGAAATAGTGCAAAAAATAAAATAAAATAAAATAAAAAAAATAGGAACATCAACAGAAAAAATGAACAAGTACAGATTATGTTTGTGTATGTTTCTGGATTTATTGTCAAGTTGTTTTATCTCTACACACAGCACTATGACTAAAGGCAATTTCTACATAAATGTAATATTATTATCAGTTTCATGCGTATAAATTCAAATATTGCACACATTCTACTTAATGTGGAAACTAACATGACAAAATAAAATATTGATGTTACTCAGATTCTTCAATGAGTAGTTTATATTCCCTAAAAAATAAAAGAAGAAAAACAGAAATGTTCAGCGATTTTTTTAAAAGTGCAAAATATTCATAAAGCTCAGGTTGAGTGTGAGCTGAGACTCTTCAGTATTAATAATTATAAACTTTAACCTCACTGATTAAAGTCATAACCCAAAGATTTACATACATTTCCTGTGAGAAGGTTTTTTTTTTATGTTTTATTTCTACGTGTATTATTTTGTGTTTTATATTTTATTTCATTAAAGAAACCAGAAAATAATCACATTTAACAAGGTGGAATTAGACTATCGTTCATGGTAACTGAATATTTTTACACTCTCGATACTTCTTTCATCACTATTGACTCCTGGAATAAAAGTAAACGCATTACACACATTATATTATATTAGTTTACATATAAATAGCCGTTTCTGTGCCGCTATTTGAGTTTCTGTTTCATATTTTTCTATATTTACAGCTACACCTCTAAAAGGCTCTCAGGTAAACCGGCGGGACAGAGGCGCCATCTGGTGGACAACCAGCTCCACTACACTCGGAGCGAATCGCGTTTTGAGGACCCCTCCGCGGCTTCCGTACGACTTCACATGTGACAACAGAAGGTCAGTTATGGCAGCTTGCAGCAAAAGGCTCGACAAATTCATCGTTTCCCTGAGGTTGCTACGAAACCTGCAGCTACAGAATGAACGTGAGTAACGTGAACTATTCCTCCACTTTCTGGAATGTTCTAGAATCTGCTTTTAAAGTCCGGTGTACTTGTGATGTGCGTTTACTGTTAGCTAACGTAGCTAACCGTGGCTAGCAAGTTTCAGGCTAATGGCTGACTTTGGGGTCAGAAATAACAATAAAAATAAGACTTTATCCTCTTATTTCCAGGGTTTCTGTCCACCTCTGTGTGTCGTCTTGCTCCGGACAATGACAGCAAGCCGCCCAAGTTCGTTCCTCCGTCCAAACCCGTCATCGTGGATAAAACGCAGGCTGTGAAATCCCAACGAAAGTGCGTTTCCTCCTTCACTGACATCCACAGAGACTGATTAGCACAGGATCCCGAGTAATGTAAGTTTATTAAAGTACTGTCCCGCCTGCTTCTTCTACCTGCCAGGTTCCTGAGCCCAGAGTTCATCCCTCCTAGACAGAGAACGGACCCGCTGAAGTTCTCCATGGAGAGGAGGGACATGGTCCGCAGGAGGAAGGTTCTGGACATCCCAGAGTTCTACGTCGGTAAGAAACTAGAAGAGCCCACACATCCCCACTGCTGCGAGGTGAGGCGTCTCAGATCGCCACAAC